CGTGGCCGGCGGCCAGTGATGGTGCCAGCCGTGGTGGTGGTGCTGCTGCTGCTGCTGCTCCTGTACAGGGACATCTGCGAAGAGCAGCGTTTCTGCAGCGGACAGCTGCAGCATCGCGGTTCGTCACTCCGTTCGATTTGTCTGGTAGCTACTTCCGAGGTTTCGGTATACTATTACCTGGCGAATCGCCGCGACATAAACAAATCCACCATTACTCAAGATCGCATTCAATCGGTCTCGCACTCTGTGCCCGAGCCGCACAGCAAAAATCTATCCATACTGCTTGAGTAGGTTAATTTACACGCGGCCTCCATGTTCAGCATCGGGCACAACGCGGGCAGCTGCTGGAAAGGGCCGCTGCACACGCGGTGACACTCACGGTCGTACCCGCACTTGTCATGGCACTCTATCGTCTCCACCAGCTTAGCCTGAAGATCAGCATTTTTCGGCATGGGACATGCCTTGTGGCAAGCGCCATCGTGGCCGCACCTGGAATGGCACATCTTCACGTCCATCACCTCGGAGCAGAACTCAGCATCCACCGTGGCCGGCGGCCAGTGATGGTGCCCGCCGTGGTGGTGGTGGTGGTGCTGCTGCTTCTCCTGCACAAGGACATCTGCGAAGAGCAGCGTTTCCGCAGCGGACAGCTGCAGCATCGCGGTTCGTCACTCCGTTCGATTTGTCTGGTAGCTACTTCCGAGGTTTCGGTATACTATTACCTGGCGAATCGCCGCGACATAAACAAATCCACCACTACTCAAGATCGCATTCAATCGGTCTCGCACTCTGTGCCCGAGCCGCACAGCAAAATCTATCCATAGTGCTACAGTAGACGTCAAGGAAAGCTACACGCGCCTCCATGTTCAGCATCGGGCACTTCTCGCGCAGCTGCTGGAAAGGGCAGCCGCACGCTCGGTGGCACTCACGGTCGTCCCCGCACTTGTCATGGCACTCCATCTTCTCTACCAGCTTAGCCTGAAGATCAACATCTTTCGGCATGGGACATGCTTTGTGGCAAGGGCCATCGTGGCCACACCTGGCATGGCACATCTTCACCTCCATCACGCCGGAGCAGAACTCAGCATCCACCGTGGCCGGCTGCCAGTGATGGTGCCAGTCGTGGTGGTGGTGGTGCTGCTGCTGCTGAGCCTGTACTGGAACATCTGCGAACATACAACGGCATGCAACGGCCCCCGACCCAACCCTCACGAAAACAAAATCCTAACGCTCAAAACAAAACCTGCACACCCAGAATTGACTCATAAACTGTTCCCTAAAATCCGAAAACGTCGGCATCGAAGCTGAGCGACCGTGTTGCCGGACATGTCCTCGGCACCGTCAAGCTGGGCGCGCGGCTCCCTTAGTGAGAGCTTGGGATTTCAGCGTCCGTTGGATTGAAACCCGGGTGTACCCATTTATATGAACAAGCACAAACAAGATCACGTGCTGATCAGAAACCCTGTAAGTTGCTTCGAGGCCTCCGTGCAAATTTGCAACGGCAGAATCATGCCCTAAATCAGAGTGCCATTGAACAGCTGGCTGGCATGCTACTCGTTGCTCGGGTGCAGGGGGGTCAAGCTGGTGGTGGCTTTGCTATCTCAAGAAGGCGAGTATGCGTATATCTGTACCTGTACCTGTATGTATTTTGACACACACACACGCATATATATATATGCTAACCCCCCTATTAGCCCGCACGAGCTCTGAAGATGTGTCACCGCTTTTTCAGTCCACGGCAGGAAAACTTTTGTCTGTTCGACTGTTCGATATCAGCCATGAATCTTCGTAGACACTGGTATAAACTCACGTTCTTCTAAAAGCTCTTCAGCGTTGCTCGTGATCTTATATACGACGACATAGCACTCCACTCTGTCACCTTGGATGCGAACAATGCAGCGATGAGGAAAGGTAAATTGTACTTGAACGCAGTTGAATGAAGGAGTACCGAATACAACAAAGGAGCCATTCGGTGGAATGTAGCCAATAGGAACTGGAGCATCGACTGGGGCTGTG